TTAAATAATTAGGTAATCTCTTCCCTAGATTTTTAACTAGTCTTCTTGCCCCCATCAAACCATTCTCGATGATATAGTCAAAGTGATTTTTCAAAAATGCAAATAAGGTGAGAGTCACAGTTTTCTCCTGCTTGAACTTGCTTCTCTCTCTTCCCTGCCTCCTTAACTGCTTTTGTGTAATCAGACCATATTTTAAGCCAGGGGTGGGGAACGTCCAGCCCAAGGGCTGTATAAGTCCCGTGAAATCATTTGATCTGGCCCTGCCAAGACAACTGCGGTTCCAGCCTTCACATTGTTGTGAAGAGCTGTCGAGTCGGTTCCGACCCATAGCAACCGGTATAGGGTTTTTGAGGAGCAGCTGGTGAGCTTGAACTGCTGACCTTGCAGTTCAAACAGCTTTGCAGTCTGGCACATTAATCCACAGCGCCACACCAGGACTCCCAGCCATCATATTGTTGTTGTTGTTAAGTGCCGTCGAGTCGGTTCCGACCCATAGCGACCCTGTACAGGGTTTCCGAGGGTGTAAACATCATATTAGGGGTGAGTTAATTAAATGTTTGACCAAGTATAGCAGGCTAATTTTCAAGTTGATAATTTGTATGGCCCACAAATTATGTTATAAATTTTTGCAGAAAAAAGGTTGCCCACCCCTGGTTTAGGCAATTAATCTTGACAAGCATTGTAAATAATTTCGAGGCAGTCTTTAAAATGGCTCCAGGTTATTCTTTAGGAATTGGCCTCAATAACTATTCACATTTATTTGCATAATATATAGGGATGCTTGATGCTCTTTTCTATTCACTGTTATTTCAGATAAAAGTTACGTGTTGAACTAAACAACATAGTTGTCATTTTTAGGAGGTCTTTTACCAGGGATTGGTCAATTTGGAGCCAAATCTGGCAGAGTAGTTGTAACAGAAACCGTTTGCTTTGTAAAGCCTACAAAATATTTGCTGTAGTCTTATGGAAAAAGTTTGGAGACCTCTAGTATATGCTATCCCATTAAAAAAATTTGTTTGTTTGGGCTTCATTAATTTATTCATCCTGTAGATTTCAGTTTAGACTTGCCAAAAGTTGAAACTTCTTTTTAAGCCATGAAATCTCTTTTTCAATCCTATGCCAAAGCCCAGCTTAGAAATAAATATAAGGCAAGTGTAGTTGAGGAGTCAATCATGGCAGCTCCTAAGGTGTATTTGTGGAACACCTGGGTGTTGAATAGCTCGATTGTAAACTCAATGGAGCTTTAGCTGAACTGTTTGTTCTTTCTTTCCCTCTTGTATTTGCCCAGGACCTTTTGTTCTGCTCCAGTACCAACTCTCTTCTCCCCCACCCCAAATTTTCTGTACAATAAATCCCAGCTAAAAGAACCTTAGCCATACTGTATACCTCTTTCCATTACAGTGGTCTCTAGATATATGGCTTTTGTGGCCTTGAAATGTATAAAATACTGCCAGATTTCAAAGACTTCAAAAAAGAAAGCCAACTGTCTCATTAATAAACTTTGATGTTAATTACATGTTAAATGATACTTTTGACATATTGAGTTAAATAAAATATATTAAATCATTTTGACCTGTTTCTTTTTAAATATGACTATTAGAAAATTTTTACATTACTTACATGACTCCCATTATATTTCTGTTGGATAATGGTGTTCTGAACCAGTGATTCTCAGAACATGACAGATGTGTTCGAATCACCTGGAAAGCTTTTAAGGTGACTGAACCCACTGCAGATACTCTAAGCAGCCCTGGTAGCTCAGTGGTTCTTAGCTGCCTACGGAAAGTGTGGCACTTCCATTGCTCTGCCTATGAAAGATGTGGCAGTGTGCTTGCATAAAGATTTGTCTCAGAAACCCTAAGGAGGCAGTTCTTTTCTGTCCTGTGGAGTTACTGTGAGTTGGAAGCAATGTGGTGGCAATGGGTTTGATTGGTTCGGGTTTAGTGATAAAGGAAATTGTAGGCAAGTAGTGTAGTATGTAGTAGAGATTAGAATCTTAAATTAGTAGACTTGGTGACCTTGATTAAGAGATAATTTGACCTCTCTGGGTCTTAGTAATGTTGCTTTTCTTTTGGCTTGTTGTTGTTAAGTACTGTGAAGTCAGTTCCGAGTCATAGCAACCCTGCACAGGGTATCCGAGGCTGTAAATCTTTACGGGAGCAGAAAGCCTTATCTTTCTCCCACGGAACATCTGATAGTTTCGAACTGCTGACTTTGGGGTTAGCAGCCCGATTTGTAACCACTATATTAACATTTAACATGAAGGAGCTTTGTAAGAATTAAATTACTAAGAACTATTAAGGGGATTCAAAAAGTTCATTTAGAAAAGTGGAATTAAAAGATAATGGAAAAAAAAAGATAATGCAATTTCCCCACAAATTTTATGAAGGCACTTTATGTGTAATATATATATATATATATATATCCATCCACATATATGTATATAGATCCACTTACATTGTAACTGGCACATACAGTAGACTCAATCACTTGTAGATAAAAATAAATAAACTAATAATGACTAAAATGATGGCTCTGAGGAACTCTGGTAGCATAGTGGTTACGAATTGGGCTGTGAACCCCAAAGTCAGCAGTTCGAAACTACCAGCTGTTCCACGGGAGAAAGATTAGGCTTTCTGCTCCCATAAAGATTTACAGCCTTGGACACCCTGTACAGGGTCACTATGAGTTGGAACCAACTCCATGGTACTTAACAACAACAACAAAATGATGGCTCAGAAAAGAGGTTTGTATCAGTCAGACTTGGTTGTGAGTAGGTTGTTTTTGTTAGCTAAAGAAGAAATTGAATTTTTTTTTTTTTTTTTGGAAAAAAGTTTATCTTATTTTCATACATTTTTGTAAAAAAATTATGAGACTCGACTTTAACTGCAGTGGGTATAGGTCAGATACTCTAAATTTTTATCTCTGAAAGTAGAGCCCTGCGTGTATATTTTCACAAAAGCTCACCAAAAGATTCTAGTGTCTCAAATGCCCACTGAGAATCACAAAGTTCCACTTCTCACAAAGAAGAAAACTAAGTCCCAGGTAGTAAAGTGACAGCAAATATAATCCTCACTTCAGTATACCGTCAAAGGATTTGCTTTACATAGGTTGACAAATAAATGACAGTTATTTTTCCATGTTCTGAAACAGTGGCATTTGACTAACCATTGAGTGTGGAAATGTGGCTGACTGTAGTCATTCCAGCTTTTTGAAAACTGGTCATTTGGTGCTTTCTTGGGTTACTGTACCCTTAAAATGACTGTAGTTTTTATCTCCTCAAAATTTTTTGTGTTGTTTTTTATTCTAAAGGTAAATTGTAAGACATGAGTTAATGTTAGGATTTTAAACTTAATTAGAACAAGACCCTGAATTGATGCCATGATCGGCATAATATTTTCAGTAAAGTCAGGGAGGAGTAAGTTCCCTCTACTTCCTATATTCTGTTTCTTTTCTTGATGAACTCTTTTCATACTTCAAGACCATCTCCTCAATTGCTTCCCTGAAGTTCTCCCTGATACCTCTGGGCAGAGCTAGTCATTCTCCTTCGTATTTCCCTAACAAGAAGTAAATTATTCTTTTTGGACTTCTTCCTCCATCACCCTTAGACCAAGTTCCTTATAAAGAGGCTTTGTAAACTCTTTGATGAGTTGTGAATGTCTAGGAACAATTTATCTCCAGTCTTTGAACCTCCTTCACACGTTTCAAGATGTCTCAAGACATTAGCAGTTCACCTTTGCAGAAGTTAGCCCATGATCTGACACTTACCTTTTTTTTTTTTTTTAATATAACGTCAAGATTTTATTGTTTCAATAATAAAACAAGATGACGCTTAGAACTGGATCACCTGGCCCTTTCTCTTCTTATCTCCTCCCAGTTCAAATGTTTGTAGCTCTTAATAGCCAACATCCTCCTAGATTTGCAGTTTGGTTCAACACATTCAAGCCTCAACACAATCTTCTTTGTAGTTTTAGCCTTCTTCCGGAAAATTGGCTTAGTCTGCACACCATATCCACTCTGCTTCCTGTCATAACGCCACTTTCCCTGGGCAAACAGATAATCTTTGCCCTTCTTGTATTGTGTCACTTTGTGAGGTTGGTGCTTGCCACACTTCCTACAGAAAGTCCGGCGGATTTTAGAAACGTTTACCAGGAGCTCTGGTAGCGTACTGGTTATGAATTGGGCAGCGAACCTCAAGATTAGCAGTTTGAAACTACCAGCTGTTTCACGGGATAAAGATGAGGCTTTCTGCTCCCGTAAAGATTTACAGTCTTGGAAACCCTGTACAGGGTCACTATGGGTCGGAACCGATTCGACGGCACATAACAACAACAACCATGTTTGCCGGAGTGCTACTGGCACACAAAAAAAACCTAAGGCTTATCTTTTGACGTGGCTTACCGTGGAATATGTATCAGCAGACAACTCTACCTGCTTACTTTTCAACTTTCCTTTTGTGTTACAGGTTACTGGGCAGTGGACTAGCATGCAAGTGTAAACATGCCAGTCATAGATAATCCCCACTCATTTCAAGATCAAACCAGAGAGATCAAGATAGCGAAAGATTTATGAAATTTTCATGTGGAAGTGGCAAGGGAGTGCTTTGGTCTGACATTCTTTTATAGCCTGGAATGTTAAGGGAAAATAACTAAATCAAAAGCTTAGGTTTAGTCCCAGTGCTGTCGATACCACTTTGGTGGCCTTGAGCAAGTGTCAGTTTCTCCATGATTTGTTTGTTGTTGTTTTTTTTCTTAAATGTTTTATTGTGAATTATTTGATAGTTTACATGGGAGAACATTAGTTTTACATTCATTCTATCGTATATCGTCTCATTGCCATGGTTACAATCCCCTCCATGCAACATGATTTGTTTCTTAAGCTATAAAGTGGGTGTACTAGACGAAGTGAACTCTCCTTTAAGTACATCATGTGTTTGTGATTGAGTTTCCTTTTTTTATTTTGTCTGTTTTCTCATTAACCTCCCTATTTTTCTCTTGAAGGGTCAGATGACTTGTCTGCAAAGCTGTGGGATGTGAGCACAGGGCAGTGCATTTATGGCATCCAGACCCACACTTGTGCAGCAGTAAAATTCGATGAGCAGAAGCTTGTGACAGGCTCCTTTGACAACACTGTGGCCTGCTGGGAATGGAGCTCCGGAGCCAGGACCCAGCACTTCAGGGGACACACAGGGGCGGGTGAGTTGTACTTTTTCAAATCTTTTTATGATTGCTTTAACCTTATCCCTTAAAGTCCAAATCTAGGAATATGACCCCCCCCCCTTTTTTGTTTTTGTTTTTAGTAGTAGTATTTTACTTGTGAATTGGGTGAAGGTTTACAGAGCAATCAATTTTCCACTCAACAATTAGTATACACTTTGTTTCGTGTCACTGATTGCAAATACTCACAATGTAACATCAGTTATCCCACTTCCTCCCTGTGTTTCTTGTTTCTAGTCCTCTTCCTTTTCGACCCCTTCTGAACTTTGTCTTTAGGTAAATGCCCTTTGATCTCAGATGGTTGATTATTCTAAGGAGCATGTATGTACCTCCTGGCATTACTGTTCTCCTTATAGACCTTCTTGACTAAAAATAGGAGTTTACTTCCAGAAGGATGGTGAGGGCTGCAGTGTTGGGGGTTCCACCAGTCTTTATTTGACTGGTACACCTGGTATTTTTTTATGATTTTGAGTGCTAGTCCACATTTTTCTCCCCACTTTATCCAGGACCTTCTAATGTGATCCCTTTCAGAGAAATTGGTAATGGTAGCCAGGCACCATTTAGTTCTTCTCTCAGAGTCATGGAGACTGATGTTTCATGTGATCCATTAGTCCGTTAGACTAATTGTTTCCATACATCTTTGATTTTCTTACTCTTCTTTCCTTTGTATAGGGAAAGAACTGTAGTTGCGCCATAGATGGCTGCTCAGGAACTTTTAAGGCTCCAGTGTCTACTCACCAGTGTGGGATGTTGAACATTTATTAAGCTAGTTGACCTTGGTAGAATATGATATTATTATTACTATTATTATTTGAATCCTCCGTCACCCATTTTGTTTAAAAAAATGTTTTTCTATGTGCCTTTATACTGAGAGGGGCGTAGTTGTGTCTTTCTTTGATTTCATGCATATCCTATTGAATAGTCAGTTCCCTTTGAGTTTATTAAAGATTCCACACCTGCAAATTGGATGAGTTCTGTACTTGTAAGTTCAATTTACTTTATTTTTAGAATTTGGTCTGAAAATCCTTTGGAGTGACATTAGTGGCCAGATTGTGTCGTATGTGCAGATTATATCTAATCGAAGCTTGGTGGATTGATTTAAAATAAGCAGTTACCTAGAGAAAAAGATGAAAGAAACAGATACACCTGGGTGCTTCCTAATAAATGTATTCAGCATTTTCCAGAGCTGCTTTCTCTGTTGTGTTGTATTTTAGAGCTTTGTGTTGAAATCATATTGAACAGTTTCCCACCCTCTTATGCATCAGTTCCCTTCTTTTTGTCTCCATTTATCCATTACTTCAGCCCCTGAGAATCACAGTCTATTACCCTAAACATCACATTTTATGAGCAGCCTTCCTCCATTCCCTAAATAGTTTGGATTCCTCTGTTAAACACGTTTCCCAGTAGCCTGGATTTCCATCAAAACGCTCAATCATGCGTGAGGGGGCTTCAGAAAGTTCATGGAAAGACAATGGAATTTTTCTGTGAACCTTCTGAAGTCCCTTCATACAAGTGTGGCATATGTTTTTCTCCACCTGTCCGCAAATTCTTACAGACAGGGATCCTGCTCTCAAGGGCAGTCTTATGTCCAAAGTACTGCATCTGGGCCTCAGTAATTATTTGAATGAAACCTAGCTGTTTTGCTACTAAAAATAGGTTTTTTCCTATTTTGTTTGCCTTCCCATACATGGGTTTTTTTTTTTAAGTCTTTGCTATCCACTACTACTTGCTTCTTTAAGAAAGTGATATTTGAAGGTATATGACTAAGCAGAGAACTAAGTATAATATATTAAACTAAGTATAATATTCCAAAGTATTTCTCAAGATATACCCTGGTTTCCAGGTGATTGTAAAACCTGATGAGCTTTGTGACCATTGCTCTAAAAATATTCTTCTTGTTCCCTGGACATGGCTGTGGCTTTTCCTAATGCTGTGTCATTGCTGTTCTGTCTGTCTGCAGTATAATTTTTTTTTTCTTGATAAACCCTATTCATCCTTTAGGGCCACTTAAATCCCCTCCCTGAAGTCTTTCCTGATGCCCCTAGACAGAGTTAGTCATTCTCCTTGGTATTTCCCTACCTAACAAGAGGGCTCTTTCCTCCATCACCCTTCAACTAAGCTTCTTGAAAGACCAATGTCTTCATCTCGAGAACTCTAGTGCTTCCTTAGAGCTTGGAAGACATTTAACAACAAAGATTTGAGTATTCATTGGGAGTAGGCAGTGTTAGGTGCTGAAGATATAGGTGTGAGGAAATTCAGATGCTATTTTGAAAGATTGGATTCTGATCCTTGTTTTTGCTGTTTCTCTTTACACTGGCTTTTTTAAAGTTTGAATTCTTGTTTTGCAATGTACGTTCTTTACATTAGTCTCACTGCAGTAAACAGTGCAAGTCTAAGTATGACCAAGTGTGTTCTCTTCCTCTGCATGAGCTGTAGATAGTTTTGTAGTTTCAGGCAGGCTCGCCTGAGAACAAATGCTGTTTTCTTCAGCACTGGTTTGGTCTTTCACTTTGAAGCTAGCACAGATACTAAGAGGCTTCAAAAAGTGTGGAAAAATGGAACAAAAAGATAATGAGTTTACTACAAACTCTTTGAAATCCCCTCGTAGAAGAGATTGTCTTCTTACAGGGACTTTCCAGCCTTAGATGATTGTTGTTGTTAAGTGCCATTGAGATAGTTCGGACGCAGTAGCAACCCTGTATAGGATTTCCAAGGAGCAGTTTGTAGGTTTGAACCACAAATCTTGCAGTTAGAAGTACTTGTAGCAACCTTGCATAGGGTTTCCAAGGAGTGACTGGTGGATTTGAACCACCAGCCTTACAGTCAGAAGTCCTGTGGTTAGATTAGTAAGAAGTAATACTAATCCAATTTTGAATGGATTTTTTAAGTCTTAAAATTGATAATTGAGTAACACCCTTTTCACAGTAGCTTGAGTTGGGAAATGTATACAATTGGGCAACTAGGGAAAATAAGTGTTGCTGAAATCACAGCCACAAAAGCCCCACAGAGGCTGTTTTAACTTTGTGTATGTTGTGTGTACTAGTGTTTAGTGTGGACTACAAAGATGAACTGGATATCTTGGTCAGTGGCTCTGCAGACTTCACTGTGAAAGTATGGGCCTTATCTGCTGGGACATGCCTGAACACGCTCACCGGGCACACGGAATGGGTTACCAAGGTAGGAAGACTTACAGAAGAAATTCCCTTGATGTCAGGCTTGGGGGCAAAGGTTGGGTGTTGCGTGCTAGATACTGCTGTATGGTGATAGATGAACCCTAAAATGGACCCACAGATCATCATGGTAGTGTACAACAGTGACTTGCACCGCAAAGGCACTCAGTAAATAATAGCTTGTAGACATGACATGGAAAGATGTCCACAGTGTAGTAGGTAGGTGGAGGCAACACGCAAAACAGGCTACAAAATACTATGTAGAGTATGGTACCAGTTTCCAAATGTGTTTATCCATCTAAACGTTGAAGGTGATTCTTTCTAGTAGGGTTGTGGGTACCTCTTAACTTTTAGGTTGAACGCATTTCTTTTTTAATTAAAAAAACAAAACTTTCATTTTGAAAAAGTAATGCTTGTACTAAAACGTGTGGCAAAGAAAAATCTACAGGATATTCCGAATACTATAATGTTTTTCAGTTTTTACAAAAATGAATTAATCACAAATGAATTAATCACAATGAGAATGTTTGAGCTTCCCTGGCTGCTGTGCAAGGGGTTGGCAATACAAGGATGAGCACAGCAGACCTAGCCTTCCCTTTACAGATGTTAGTCTAGCAAGGGAAATGATGATTCATGGTAATTTCACAAATAGGGCATTATAGATTGTGCTAAGTGTTGTGAAGGATAAATGCAGTAGTCTGTGAGAAAGGCTAGGAAGGGTATTTAACTGGTTCGGGGCAGGCTTTTTGAAAAGGAGCAAAACATGAAGAATGAATGAGAACTAGCTGTGCATAGAATAGTGGAAAGTGTATGTCAGGGGTGTAGTTTACGCATAAGCCCTGGGATGGGGAGACAGGAACATTTGGTAACCTGGGAGAAAGCTAATGGGACTGTGCTGAATGAAATTGGAGGGCTGAGAGACGCCTCCTGTATGAATCAACCATATTAAGGATTTTGGATATCATAATTACAATAGGAAACAACTGAAGTGTTATTTATATGAGCAAGGTTTTGGTATAATGAATGTTTTAAGAAAATAACTTATCACTAAGTGAAAAATGAACAACTGGTATGGTACTGTGGGATCAGCACTGGACTGCAAACCACAAGGTTGACAGCTCAAACCCATTAGCTGCTCCTCGGAAACCATGGAGCCCACTCAACAGCACTTAAAACAAACAAAAAAAGGGCCAGAATGGGGCACAAAGTAGATACAGGCTGCCTAGTTAGGTCTGTGTAGTAGGTTAAGCAAAAGATGGTGACTTGGATTTGTGTGTTGGTGTGGTGCTGTAGGATCAGCACTGGACTGTGAACCACAAGGTTGGCAGTTCTAACCTACCAGCTACTCCTCAGGAACCCTATACAGGGCTGCTATGAGTTGGAACCGACTCGACAGTGCTTAACAACAACCATAAAGAAAAATAAGTGCACACATGAAAGATAAATCTTTAAGGTAAAGCCAGCTGAGCTCTGATTTGTTATGGGAGATGAAGAAAGAATTAAGAGGTGACTGTTGGGTTTTAGACTGGTTGGGTGATTGATAGTGTCTTTATCTGAAAGGGGAGAAGCTGAAGGGGTAGCAGTTTGAGAGAAGAACAGCAATTCTGTAATGGGAAATATTGAGTTCTTAAATAGCAAAGTTATATGTTATAATGTAATTTGGTACCATAAAGTAGACTTGGGGCTAGGAGATTGTGATATTATAGACAAATTACTACTCCTTTCTGGACTTGAGTTTTATCACCTGCTAAATATTGCTGTGAATTGTAAATGAGATGCTCAGCAAGGCCCCTAAAGTAGCAGGTCAACCAGTTTATTTTGAATCTGCTACTCAGGCTTCAGAATGAGTAAAAAGGACCCTGACCGCCTTGATTTCTTACAAAATAACTAGAATGTACTATTTACAGATTATTGTAAGTGCTAGTGAAATGTTAAATTTTATTACATCATTATTATTTATAGTTTCATTTCATCCTCATGCAGTTATGTGAAATAAGATAATAGGTACCTCATCCCTTACATTAAAGATGAGGAAACCGAAGGACAAAGGGGTTACATATGGGAGATTCTGGTTTTAAGTCCAGTTTTGTTTTTTGTTTTTCCCTTCCATTATATTGTATCTACTTATAAAAACAGATAATTTCATCTATTGCTTCTATGGCCTTTCTCTCTTTGGGGCTCTTTATGTTCTATAAAGTCACATTTTATAATTTGAAAAATCGGTTCTAAAACTTGCTTCTAGACGAAAATGGAGTTTAAATGCTGCCAGCATTAGACCCTTTTAGATCCTGTTGATAATTTAGAGAATCTGGTTGTAGGAAAAGTATGAGTAGAGGTTAACATAATAATGTATTTATAGCTTATCTGTCATACCATAGTATTTCTAGATCTTTTTTATATTTTAATATGCAAGAAAGTAAAAGCAATAATGGAACAGCACTTAAAGGATCTTTCTGTAACAGGGATGTTTATATTTGCAGGTGGTTTTACAGAAGTGCAAAGTCAAGTCTCTCTTGCACAGTCCTGGAGACTATATCCTTCTAAGTGCAGACAAATATGAGATCAAGGTGAGGATTTTTTCCTCCATTAATTTGTTTCAAAAAACAAAAACTAGAAAATATAAGAAACTTTCAATGGTATGGTAAAGTGGGAATATCTAAAGGGAGATGTCTTAGTCCAAGCTATGTCTGTCAACCGTTGGAAGAAGAGATTATTATGATTACTCTTTAGCTCTTAGGTGTATGTGTAGATGCTTTCTAACTCTGATTACAAATGCAAGTTAAACAAAAAACAACGCACAACTTTATCTTCAACACATTCTCACTGTTTTTATCTCCTGTCCTCAGTACTTAGCTTCAAAATATGAAAACATAAACATTCATTTTTTGTAATAAAACGATTTGCAGAGTTTCTCGTGCACTCATATACATTTTCAGTAATCTTTTAAACCATTATTTAAATAATGGGAGTTGTTATATCTTTTTTGATGGAATGGAGGCTTAGAGAAACTAAGTAATTTTCCCAAGGTTACACTGCACATTTGCAGTTGAATCAGGACTTGGCTCTTGTCCCTTGATTATGAAAGCTATGATCTTTTCAGTATACTTTACATTGAATCTGACTTAAGCAATGCATGGCACATTGTTTCAGGACAAACTCTTTTCTGATTTTTTTAATCTGTAGATTTGGCCAATTGGGAGAGAAATCAACTGTAAGTGCTTAAAGACATTATCTGTGTCTGAGGACAGAAGTATCTGCCTGCAGCCAAGACTTCATTTTGATGGCAAATATATCGTCTGTAGTTCAGCACTAGGTCTCTTCCAGTGGGACTTTGCCAGTTATGATATTCTCAGGTAATGCTTCCTTGGACCTTATACTTAATCTTTGAAAGTAAGTTACAATTCAAAAGTAAAAGCAAGATTAAATGTTTGTATGTACCAGTCAATCATTTGGTTTTAGGAAAAGTTTCCACATCAGTATAAACAGGATATATGAGGGCTTCAAAAAGTTTGTGGAAAAATTGTGTATTATCTTTTACTTCCATTTTTTTCATGAATATTTTTGAGTTCTCGTATATGCTGAATATGTCAGGAAAATTGTTTTTGAAACAGTATGCAAAAAAGAAAGCTTTATTTTGGGAGATCTAGGTTCTAATTCCTACCTTGAGTAACTTCCCTGTGTATAATTTATCATACTTTTTTGGAAAATGAAAGGCTTGGATGAAAAGATCTTCTAGGGTCTTCTCCATTTCTAAATATTTTAAGTTCTGCTTCCTGTTGAGTTGAAAGTTTGTTGGTCTACAAGACTAGCCAATTTAAGTGGGATCCAGAGGTCAAGTGACCTTCTGCTGACCAGTAGAAAGACAGAGTTATTTAAAGATAATAAATTTGGACAAATTGGTTTCTGATTCACTGTGTACCATAGACCTCTTCCTCTGTAGGAAATAGACACATTGGAAGCTGATTGAAGCCAATACCATGTGATAATTTAGAGAATTTATTATGACAATCAAACCTTACCTTACGACCTAATGTCACCTCTTAGGAGCAGCATGATTTTGTGTAGGTTTCTTAACCTCTGTGTGCTTCAGTTTCCTTATCTGTAAAATGAGGCTTAGATGAAATGCCTGTAAAGAGAATTTGACACATACAGTACATGGCAAGTCTGTATTACTAATAGCTCTGAGAACCCATTGCTGTGCAGTTTATTCTGACTTGTAGTCACAGAGTAGAAATGCCCCCATAGAGTTTCCTAGGCTATAATCTTTATAGGAGCAGACTGCTACATCATTCTTTGGAGTGGCTAGTAGGTTTGAACCATCAGCCTTTTGGTTAGCAACTGAGTGCTTAACCACTGCACCACTAAAGATCTTTATAGCTCAGAAAAGTCATACATAATAAGAGAATTTGCCAGAATTTGGTTACCATACTGTACTTTACACTTAGTCATGCTCAAAGCTCTTTCTCTTGAGACATGCCTGTTAACAGCTCACTGAATTAGTGTTCTACAGAATGATTTGGGAATTCAGGAAATGCTGATTTCGGGGGGCTAGTACATAAAATTAAACAATCTGTTCATTATTTTTATGCATGTCTGTTCTTACTAGCCAGTAGGTAGCATAGTGGTTACGAAACGTGCTGTGAACCGCAAGGTCAGCAGTTCAAAACTACCAACTGTTACGCAAGAGAAAGATGAGGCTTTCTGCTCCTGTAAAGATTTACAGCCTCGGAAACCCTCTTACAGGGTCACTATGAGTCAGAGCCGACTCACGGCACTTAACAACAGCAACATCTTCCTGGAGTCAGACCAACATTTCTAACCAGGTTAGGTTTTAGAGCTGTCAAAATCATTTCTAGAAATGATTGATGATTAGGCTCTGAAGGGTAGAAGACCAGAGAGAGTCTAGAAAAACAGTTTAAGCTCTGCATTTTATAGATGGGGAAACTGAAGCCCAGAGAAATAAGGGCCTTTATCTAAGCTCCCACAGCTCATCCTGCTAGTCTCACATTCATCCATCTATGACTGTATTGCTCAGCAGCCTTGTACTTAATGTACCAGCAAGTTAGAAGCATTAACTATTAAGAGCAGAGATTTTTAAAAACCTGGTATTTTGCAAATAATGACTTCAGTTAAACACCATAGGAAAATCAGATGTTTTACATTTAGTATTGCTTTTATTTTGAATGAACCTTTTTTTGTGGGGGGAAGTATAGGAGGCAAGGTTAAATATCCCATTGCTGTCAAGTCGAATCCAACACATATAACAAGCCCTGTAGGACAGAGTAGAACTGTCTCATAAAGGTTCTAAGGCTGTAAATGTTTGTGGAAGCAGCCTGCCACATTTTTCTGTTGTCAAGTGGCTGGTGTGTTTCCTACTCAGTAGAGTGTAGAGTTCAGCATTCCAGATGAAATTGCCATTACGTTTAGGTGTTTGGATATGCTAGCTCTCATCAACAAACCTGCAAGATAATCTGATTGTATGAGGTGCTAGTCTTAGATTTTTCTTTGAAAGTGGGCAATTTTATCTCTTTTCTCCCTTAAACAAAATAGCCCACCCAGTCTCTTTGGAAACCCTAGCACAAATCCTGTGGCCTCAGAGGTAAGTTTCTAGGACCAGGTAGGGCTACTTAAGGTTTGCAACCAATCCAGAGCAAGCAAAGCACAAGTGCTAGCATATTAATCCATAAGACTCAGGTAACGATACAGTTTCTTTAGCTAGGCTATTTTAGCAAAGTTACTTTGGTTTAAGGTCCAGATTGCACAGCAGATATGTTCTGTTTATACTTCTAAAGTAACCAAAGGAAAGGGGGCCTTCTGAGTTTATCAAGAGCTATCTTCTGTACGGCAATGATTTCGTGCTTCAGGGTCTTTGAAATTAATTCATTTTCACCTGGTTTAAACTCTATTTGCATAGTCATCAGTTTTCATCTAAGTTTCTGGTTATATCCTGCTTTGCGTTGATACAGGAATTATAGATTTTCCAGTGGTTTTCCCAGCTTCCTTTGGACCACTTATGCAGAATTTGCATTTTCTCATGTTCATTGCACCACTGCTTCTATTCGCTAACATTTTTATTGAGCATCTATGATTCAGGCATTGCAATTTGCTTTGAGAATCAGTAGAAACACTTCCCGAAATTAAGGAGATTGCTAGCCAGTAAGAAGGAAGACTGACATTAAATAATTATGTAAAATTTTATTTAATGTTTTAGGGTAAGTGTAACGTACCTGGTACTGTGAGATCTGACCTAGTCCGGGTTGTAGGAGGAGATACTTAAGCTGAGCTCTCAAGGCTGAGTATATGCATTAACTAAGCCAGATGCAGTAAGGAGTGTTACTTACTCTTAAGTGTGGTAAGGCGTGAGAGACCAGTGTTAGAAGGCCCAGAAACCGAATGGGCCTGGTATATTTGGAACTGGAAGAAAACCAGTGTAGCTGAAGATTTGGGTGTAATCAGAAGCCATTAAAAGGTATAAAACGTTTTAACAAGGTAGTAGGCTGATCAGATTTTATTGTGAAGTTAACTGATTGAAAGGGGTCAATGGAGATGTGGGGAGATCAATAGAAAACTGTTGGGTAGTAGTGCAGGCAAAAGATGATGTATTGGATCAGTGTTGTGGCAACAGAAATAGTAATGAGTAAATTAGAGGAAACTTCAGAAGGTAAAAACAGTGGTTCTTAGTGATTGAATTTGTGATTTGAGAAAAGAGTCAGCTACTTGCCATGTTTTCTAGCTTGAACAAGAAGAGGAACTGCTTTAGTTAATAAAAGTTCAATTCTGGGCAGGTTTAGTGTGAGGAACGTCATCTTGTTCACTAAATTCCTGGTACTAGCAGTGGCTAGCACACATTCAGTTCTCAGTATCATATTTGTTGAGTGAATTAGCATGAGTCATTCAAGTGGAAAATTATAGGGACACACTGATTAAAACTACTGTTTTCCCTTTCCTTGGGATATCAAACTCTTATTTTATAGGCATAATTTATTAAAAAGATTTATACCGTAGGGAGTGTTCAATAAATGCTTGAATGAATGGTTTTGCATGAATGTATCTTCTCAAACTTTTCTATCTAAATGATTCTCTCTTGTCTTGTAGCTCTTTTCTAAGTGCAGGAGTTTCTTCCATTTTCAGTTTCAGCAGGTAAATCCATTCTCTGATCTGCTTTTCAAGCTGGTGGTGGTGGTGGTGGGGAAGCAGCACTTATTAATTGCTTGCTTAGTTTCATAGAAGTGAGGTTCCTAGTGATACTTTTAATGTCACACAATCTTTTTCAGAGACAAGATAACCAGTTCTAAGGGAAATAACATGCTTCTTATGGTAGATAATTTGTAAAATTTTAGTTTCCTCCCGATCTGGCATACCCAGCTCCTTTTCTTCTCCTGAAAAGATCCTTTCCAGGTCTAGCTGCTAAAAGGTCATTCATTGCCTGATGTTCCCATTATAGTCTTCATCCAGCGTCTTTACTGGTGGTGCTCTCACATTCTGACATTATATGCTGTGCAGTCTCCATTCGATGGGCAAGGACCCTCTTACTTGTACCTTACAGGGGCCACCCTACCACACTCGATAATATTTGTTCAGTTGAAATCTGTTTATTTATGCACTTATCCATTTAGCAAAGAGATGCTCATTGCCCTCCTCATCGGAAGCAGTTGAATGTAGAGAACAAAACACGGGTTCTGGAGTCAGATCGCAGCTCAAATGCTAGACCTGCAATGTATTACCTGTATGAACATGGCAAAATGTTTCATGCTCTAGCCTTCAATTTATTCACTTGTATAATGGAGATAATACCTTCATCTAACCAGGCATTGAGGATGCAAATAACAGTTAAGAAAGTCAGTGGCTGGTACATAAAAGGGGGAAAACTCATGTTTCCATGAACTATTTGAAGCCCCTGTCACAGATGCTCAATACAATATGAATGTCCTCTCCCTTCCTAATTATCAAGCAGAAATCTTCCATGTGATTCTTTCCATTGATCCTAGTTCTGCCTTCTAGACATGGTAATATCTGGCCTCCTCTCTTACACATCCTTCACTGTTTAATGGTGATAGTCATGTGTAGTTTCCCTGCTCCTGCCAATATCTCAGTGAAGTGTCCTTCTTCAGCTGTTCCTTCCTTGTCCTGGTTTACAGACCCTCCCCATTCAGGTTGGCCTCTTGAACACATATTGATTTGACAAGGTCTTTTGTTAAGACTAACCTCGCTTTTTCACAGGGGCTCAACCATAGCATCATAGAGCACAGTTGTACATCCCTGGTCTCATAACTGTTCTTAGTGCCTCTAAAGAGGACATCAACTTTTCTTGTAACTTTTTGCCACATTAAACTTGCAGGTACAAGTCCCTGGGTGGTGGAAATGGTTAAGCACTTGACCACTAGCCAAAAGGTTGGCAGTTCAAACCCACAGAGGTATTTCAGACGACAAGCCAGGTGATCTGCTTCTGAAAGGTTGAAAATTCAGTGGAGCAGTTCTCTGAATGCATTGGGTCACTATGAGTTGGAATCGGCTCAGTGGGGTTTCTTTACTTTTGTTTTTTTCATCTCTGCTTCTGTTTAGTCAATCTCTCCCAGTTTGTGCCTCTGGTGTTTGGAAACTGCCACCCTGCAAAGGTTAATGCTGTCCTCTCAGCTCCCATTTAATATCTGAGATGCCTATATTAGTAAATGTTTCTGAATTATTTGGGAAACTTCTGCTTTTAGCCTCTGCTATTATTAGAGAGAAACCCATGTGCTTGTTATGTGCTAGACATTTCAGTCACTGTGTTCTGGGCTGATTGCAGTATTCGAGGATTTGGTCATTAAAGTCTTTTTACCTATTGGGAGTAGTTAAGTCTTACAGTCTAAACCTAACTGGTAACTGACTAGTTGTGAAACCTTAGTCAAAGTATCCAGTCTGGGCTTCAGTTTCTGCATTTAAAAATGAGACGTTAGATAATCTGTGAGATCTTTTCCAGCATGGGTAGCTGGGTATTTTGTGCTTCTATAAACTTTCATCAAACACTGCCTTTCTTTCCCTCTAAATGCCTCTGTTATCAAACTGAAGGGGGTTCCCTCTGCACCCCACCTTTTCTTTTTAAGTGGACTGCTGATATTTTTGCTGTATTTTCCTTCTTATCAAAATTGTTCATTTAGCTCTCTGAATCCTCTCGAATTTTATATTGGTTTTCAATGGAAAAGATGACTCTAACATAAACACAGATTTAAAGTTGCCTCTGGTTCATGGTCCCTAACTCTCATCCCTGTAGGGTCATCAAGACTCCTGAGATAGCAAACTTGGCTTTGCTTGGCTTTGGAGAGATCTTTGCCCTGCTGTTTGACAACCGCTACCTGTACATCATGGACTTGCGGACAGAGTGCCTGATTAGCCGCTGGCCTCTGCCAGAGTACAGGAAATCAAAGAGAGGCTCGAGCTTTCTGGCAGGAGAAACATCCTGGCTGAATGGACTGGACGGGCACAATGACACAGGCTTGGTCTTTGCCACCAGCATGCCAGACCACAGTATTCACCTGGTGTTGTGGAAGGAGCACGGCTGACTGACTTTGGGTGCCAGGGCTGCGGGTTTTGAGTGCAACCTCCGTGGCAGCTGACTGCATGAACCAAAGTTCTCACCTAATGGTATCATCACGCAGTGCACAATCATTTATCTCTGTTTGCCAGAGGGCCTGGGTTTCGGGTGGGGGAGGGTTTGTTTTATTGACACACAACGCAGCATGCTAATGGGATACACCATTGACTTCATTTGTACTTAGTTATGTTGGTCAGTATAAGAGGATGCGTTTTGGATTCATCTTTCTTGACTGGAATATTGATTTAAGTAAAGAACATTAAATTGGTTCATTAACCTGCTAGTTGGTTGCCTATGAAATCATATTCAGTCTGTTATTAAAGCTTTTTAACATAGCCTTTTTGTTCTTTCAAAATTGAAGCAAAGGTGCTATGATGTTTCAGCAATTTCTCTCACATGGGGCTCAGATTTGTATGAGAGCCAGTGTTACAATGACCACCGAGTCCTGCGACTTTCATACTCTCCACCAAGAGACCAGTTCTGAAGAAAGTCTGTCTTTGGTGCAAATCCAGTTTTGTAAATTGATTGTTCATAACTCATTCTAAACCCCTTTCTTAGCAGCCTCAAGATTATACGTGTCTAAGGTGTGAGGGAGTTGTGTTGTTTTTTTTGTTTCTATAGAGGGAAAACTGTGTCTCTGCTGCCCACAGCTTGGGTGACTGCACACAGACGACATGAGATAGTAGAGGAATGGTGAGCTGCAGGAGTGGGGACTGCTTCCGGTGCCTAGGAATTCTGTGGCCTGGGACATAACATTTCCTTGGGCCACTGTTTCCTCTCTGTAAATCTAGGTGATAATTGAGTGATTTATTTCTAAGCAGTACTGAAACTATTGAGGTATGCAAAAGTGATATTGTGGTTTTGTCTGGTCCCTGATTCATTGTTTCATTTGGATTGGAGATAATATATTAAATTGCCACCACTGATAAAAAGCTGTCATCTGTAAGAAAATCAGCTGTGTATGAAAAAGGAATGCATAAAATATAATAGATTCTGCTTGGAAAATGTAAATAATTGGTGAGAGAAATGCTGGTAGGAGTGATGGTTCTATAGAGAGGCAATGTACTTATGTTTGAAAAAACCCAACTTACCTTCTTCCTTTTCCTCCAACTTGATGTGTGGCCTGAGACAGGCTAGCATTCTCTTCCTGGCTTCTCGTTTTCTTCATCTTTAAAATGATGACATTCAGTAGCTTAAGCTTCACAGTTGTGTAGCACTGGACTGCGAATCACAAAAGGCCAGCAGTTCAAACCCACCAGCTGCTCCTTGAAAACCCATACAGGGTTGCTGTGAATCAGAGTCGACTTAACAACAACAAGGGAGCCATGCAGGGAACAGAAAATGAGTGAAGCATGCTGGTTAGGATTGTGCTGAGCCACACAAACTTTATCTCATGCAGGCTTTACTCAAGCTCAATGTTGGAAGCTTGTCTAATTTTTTTCAGAAGGAACAAATTCAGATTTTTATTTGAAATATCCTAATTTTTAAAATGTTGACAGCTCATTGAAGATACTTAAAATACAGTGGGCTAAACACAACATGCCCAAAGGTGTTCATTTTGTCCTAAGCCCCTTTGCTCATGTTAGGCAGCTCTGTGAGTAACCAATGAAAATGTTCTAATTCACTTGTCACAAGCAGGGAGAGAGGTGAGGGAGCAAGCACTAGTGAAACCCCTCAGCTGTTTCCCATTGTGTTACAAAGGAGTTAGAGAAGACTATTTCAGTCACAGACTTATAGGAAAGTAGTGGACAGGAATATTAAAAGTACCATGGACTGCCAGAAAAACAAACCAATTTGTGTTGGAAAAAATACTGCCAGAAAGCTCCTTAAAAGTCAGGATGACTAGACTTCGTCTTTCATACTTCAGACACATTATCAGGAGGGACAAGTCCCCGAAGAAGAACATTATGCTTGATGAAGTGAATGGTCAGTGAAAAAGAGGAAGACCCCAATGAGATAAATTTGCACAGTTGCAGCAGCAATGGGCTCAAGCGTAGCAACAATTGTGAGATTGGTGCAGGACTGAGCAGTGTTTCGTTCTGTTGTGCATAAAGGTCGCTATGAATCGGTGCCGACTCGATAGCACCTAAGAGCAATAGTGGAAAGAACACAGGAACTGAAACCTCAGTGAGAGCCTCTACCTGGGAGTATAATTTATTCCTTCTTGCTGACTCTAAACGAAGGCCTCCCCATTTTAACAGGAGAGAGAGAGTTGTTAGCAGAGTTGAACTTATATGAATTCTAGAGTGGGGACCCAACTCTCCCATAATCTTCATTTGCACAGAGCCTGACAGTGGACCTCTGGGTGCTATAAAGTTAGTATTTTAGAGACTCGATGACTGGTTTAGTTCATGTTCATGTTGAGACTCCAAGGGGATTAGGTACATAGGAGAAAACAAGATCATCTCTCACCCCCCACATCTGTGTTTAATCCACTGCATGTTAAGCTCTGCGCATGAGCTCTGCTTAGTCCTCTTAGAAATGGAAACAGAATCGCAGCTGGAAACTGTTTTGCAAGAAACAGGGTAGTGATGAGAGTAAATTAATTTTTCCCCTTCGTGGAGCCTGAATAAATAACTGAAGGTTACTAGTGTAATGACCATGCCTTTTAGATATAACCAGTATCTTCAAAGGACAGGTAATTATAGTCATTTGTGGAGAAAAAGTTTACAAGTTATAAAATTGAAACCTGTTGCTACCATCTGTGCTGCCTCTCTTCAGTGGTGTATACCCAAGTTCTCATCAGGAGGGTGCTTGGTGCAGCTGGATTTTGATAGCAGTACTTGGGACAGTGATTAGTATTGTAACGAATTCCTCATTCTCACAGAGACTGTGTGTCACCAGAGCTTGTTAATGAGTTGCTGTATAAATGGTGTGTATATCCATAATGTGGCCAGCTTTTATAAAAATGGAAAGCTCTCATCCTTCAGAAAAAGTAAAGTAGGGTTCCTAGAGGGAGTAAGTCGATGATAATTTGATGGTGGCCCCTCTGTCTCCTTTCACTGAGGTAGGGGATTGCCTTCTCTACACACTGACCTCTGCTTCTCTAGCTCCGAGGGGAGGGAATTATCTTTGTCTCTTCTTCCATGAATATTCTCATGTCTTCAAACGTGTATGTCATGAGCATACAGACACCATTTTTTTTCTGTGTGCATTGAATTTCTTGGCAGCTTTACAGTGTGGTGGAAATGAGGGCTTTTCACCTCTCCGGTCAATCAAAAGCCTCACAACAACTTCAGACTCCAGGGTGAGATGGGCCTGGGAGAACTCAGTGGGTGTGAGGATTTTAGCAGGCTCGACTCCCATCTCATCTCCATTATGAAGTACAATGAAGTATGATAAGAAATAAGAAGAAAAATGCCTTCCTCCATTGGAGGAGCTAGTCTCAAGAGGATGTACAGGAAGACACACATGTTTTGACAGCTTTTCCTCTATGTGGAAGGAGGAAACTTGCTGGTAAAACTTCAGGTTTGTACTTCATTCTCAAAGGTTCAAAATTGACTCTGTTCTGGTTATTGAAAACTCTTAGTAAATTAGGATGAGGATTATTCAAGGGAGCTTCAAAGGGTTTGTGGAAGAATTCCATTATCTTTCAAGTACATTTTTCCACAAACTTTTAAAAATCCCTGGTCCCCATTGTGTAGCCTTTCTAGTGTTTGCACACAGGGGAATGATTACTTTTCTGCATTTATGAAACATCTTAGGGGAAAAGAAATCTGTTGGAAACAGCATTATTTTAAAGATGTAGGCATTGTCTCCAGTCGGTGACTAACAGAAGCAGCTAGGGATGGGAGAGCCTGCCTTTACATATTGCTTTGGACAAACACAAACACAGCCAACAGCTTGAACTTGTGACTAGAGGTTAATGTTCCCACCACCACTCTTCCAGCCTGCTGCCCTGTCCTCTGGGCCTCTTGAAGGCTAGGTGTATCAGATACTCCGTAGGAGAGGGAACAGTGTCCTATCACTCCTCTGGGATGCACACCGTCACCTCTGCCTTGGGGACACACTGTCGATATAAAGGGGGAAATCCTTTAGGTATCTCTCGACATCCTTCCTACCTGGTTATGCTGGTGCTTACCATTGTGTTTTAAGACAACCAAAACATTTTTGAGAATTATGCATCCCCCAGATAAAAGCTTGATAAAAAGAACAGGTTAGCGCTCTTTACAAAATGGCCCACTAACCATCACTGCCAGTATCTCTGCTCAGAGGTCCCTGTGCCCTCTGTAGGATAGTGATTTTTTGTTTTAGAATTAATCCTCAGATTACTGGGTCTGATGACTCCCAGCAGCCTAAGCAGGCAGAATGATCATGCTCAGTGCAAAATGTTGTTTTGCCGTCAAATTGTTTCCATGTGTTTCTAGCCTCCCTCAGTCCTTCCTAGAACAATTCAATTGTTTAAAGTTACATTCTGACCAGTATTGTTGTTGTTGTTAAGTATTGTTGAATTGGTTCCGACCCATATTGACCCAGTGTAGGGTTTCTGAGGAGCGAGTTAATGTGCTGCACTGCAAAGTCTGTTAAGCACAAGGTCGGCTTCAAGCACATGAGCCACTCCTTGGATATCTGACCAGTATACACCTGTTTAATTATAGCAACTTAAAGAGTCCAGCTACTTCTCCTCTTCCTGAATGTGTCCAAATAAAAATGTGATTTTGCACATCAAACATGACAAATTATTAATTCGAGTGATAAAGCTCACAATTTTTTGGTGCTCTTAATACATTGTGAACAGACATTTCATTAATTTGGACTTAGTACCCTTGATAAGAATGCTCAGGTGGAAAAAAGCAAGTCTCTATCACCAAGCCACCATGGTAAACATTTACAACTCATGTTTCACTCATTTGATATATGTTGTGATCTAGGGGGAATGAGGTAAAATTGGTATCTAAATTGTGTAGTGGGAGAGAGGGATTGCTTAATAGTGGCGTGATTGTGGAACGTTATTTTTACACATCATAGAAACATTCTTTTACCCGTGTGTGATTGTGTTAATTATAACTCATTTATATCTCTACATTAAAGCAGGTTCCTTCAATTAGGCAACATTAGGTTAGCCAAGTCCAACTTACTGTTTGTTCTTGAAAGTAATAAAGCTGCGTTTCCTTAAAATTCTATTCTGTAGTTGTGGCTATTTTTTTCCATCTATTTCAGGTGGAACTTTTCAAAGATGAGTGGTTTAGATTGTGTCTTTAGATATGGGGCGACCCCATGCATGGCTCTGGGGTTTTATTGTTTTTATGTGCTTTCAATTGCAAATCCAACAATATAACAACTTCTGAATGAGATCCAAGAGGGAAAACAAATTTAAAAGTAAAATGCAAGGGAG